GGCTCAATCCCTAATGCCACAAAAAGGAAATCTTTAATTATAAATCATCTTTTTGACAAATATTTTCCAGATTATAAGGCATCTGAGGAGCAAAGTTTTGCTTAAAGAACCTAGTTATTAAAACTAGGGATTGAGAATTTTAAATTTTTTTCACCACCGTCTGAAATTATAATGTTTATGATTTAAAATTTATAAATAATAATTTAAAATTTATAAATAATAATAATAACTTCATGTTATTCACTATGGAATTTATAATATCTTGACTGAAATTTTTAGTTTTGTAATCTACAGCAACAAGGTCCTTGTCCAACAAGGATTTCTGAGATTTTTTCATATCACGATTCCCACAGCAGCTGATGATTTCAAATTATTCTGTAGACTTTCATTGCACAACAAAAATAGGGTACCTTACTATGCCAGGTTTTAATCAGCACTTACCTTTTTAAAAACAGGTTTTTTTGTCATATGTTACACAATTGAAGTTTTAGTTTAGTATACAGCAAAGTACTATGTTTTAAAAAGTGAATTTGGGAAAATCTTTCAATAACACCTACCAGGGATATTTTTGCCATAGAAAGAAAAACAATGTTTAATTATTCTAGTACTTAAGATAAAGAAAAGAATTTAGAAATGTGCCCCTCTGCTACATTTTTTGAAATGTGTTCAAACCAGTATGCAGTTCTAAATTTAAAACAAATTGAGGAGCCAAGAAGACAGCTCAGTGGAATAAGTGCTTGCCTTTTACATAGGAAAATATCACACAATGGAATAGTAATATTGATTGCATTGTTCTGAAATATATCACTCCTATGATAGTCATAAATATGCAAAAGAAAACTACTTACTCCTTGCTAGATTTAAGTATTTCATAAGGCTAAATCTTCTCTCTTCATCTTGAACATAAGGGGTTACTCCATTTACATCTAATCCAAAGCAATAATCATTTGAGGAAACTGTCACATCATTAAGAGTTTATTAGGAGATTACTGACTGTATATATGAAGTCACATGCATTATATCTGAGAGATTTGCTCCTTCCATTCCCCCAAGATTATGTAGATTCTTGACAAAGTGGAGTGAAAAGACAGAAGAAAGAAAGAACCAGAGAGGAAAGAAGAAAGAAAGAAAGAAAGAAAGAAAGAAAGAAAGAAAGAAAGAAAGAAAGAAAGAAAAAAGAAAGAAAGAAAGAAAGAAAGAAAGAAAGAAAGAAAGAAAGAAAGAAAGAAAGAGAGAGAGCATTGTAGATTTCTTTTTTTTTTTTTTTTCTTTTTTTTTTCAGGCTTCTTGTAAGTGACACATGGCAGACGGAAGTGCTTGGTGAATGTATAACTTTCCTTATGAGGAAGTAGAGCAGTTATCAGCATGTGCTTAGCTGTATTGTGTGTAAATTTCCAGAAATACCTATGCAGAAGCTTTCAGAATCTATCTTAAGTAAAATACCTTTGCCCTGAATCTTTAACTGGAGATAAACATCAATTTGTAATTGAGTTCAATAATTTCTCATTACCCTAAGAAGCAACTACACTCATTTGCACCATATTTATTTCATGTCTAACTAATACAATTAAGTAGACAACAGGAGAGCAGAGAGGGTATTAAAAAATGAGAATAAAAATGTAGTGATCGCTTTTACAGCAGCACTACACACTCACGGTGTATCCTGGTAGAGAACTCCTCCCCCATGAGTTACGGCAGATGCTAATAACAGCAATTCCTTCTCAGAACAAAGCTCTTTTAATTTTGTTAATATTGATTTTGAGAGCTTAAATTAAAACACAAAATTACTTAAAGAAGTGAATAATGATTAAGTTCACCAAAATAGAACTAAAACCCCCCAACATTTCAATATTAGTTTGTAATTTGCCTTTTATCACAGAATGTTGCTTTGACCACTAGAGTTTGATTTAGATGATGCCAAACTCATAGAAAGAAATGAAATATTTCATTTTGTTATATCTGTCTTTATCCTTTACTAAAGCTTTCTAAAATTTGGATTTCTGAGATTTTTCATATCATGATTCCTACAGCAGCTGATGATTTCAATTTCAAATTATTTTGTAGACGTTCATTGCACAAAGAAAATAACAGGGCCACTTACTATGCTCAGTTTTAATTAGCACTTACCTCTTTAAAAACAGGTTTTCTGTCATATGTTACACAATCATTTGATGGAGGTTCACATGCACATGACTCAGAAATTGATTGAAAATTCGTTCCCCAATCCGCAGCTCCATCGACCAAGCCACAACATTTAAACTGTTTAGTGAAAATGCGATGAAAAGTAGTCACCAAAAAGATTAAAAACATCATA